TCACTTCATACCACCGAGGTAACACAGCTTTGTTCCCGTACAAGGGTTAGGGTTAGCTTGTGAACAAAGACATTTCGTTAACTTTTCCTGCGTTCTTCACGAGATCGATTAATTCACGTGCCGCTTCATGGATATCGATGGAACGTAGCACTCAGCGGAGAAGCTCACGGACGACGGTCAACATAGGTTTCCTTTTGATGTGATAAAATAAGTAGTACATTTTTTGTATGCGATCGATATGGCCATCCGCGCGCCTGATTGGTTGCAGTCATTCCTATGATGTTGATCGTTATTGATTGACTAGATTACTTGAATTCCTCGAAAGAAGGGGAGGAGGCAGTAAAATATGGTATTTCAGAGGCATTTCAGTTGTTTCCAATCGGTCAGCAGATGCACAGCCACTCGGGATTACCCTCTCTAATTAATTTGTGGCTTACTCATATATTACTGAATGCTATCTGGGACCACGATAGCATTGTTCACACTTTCTCATAATTTCAGACGTAGACAGCTTACAGAGTGGACTGAATTACGAAGTATCCTCAAAAGTAGTTTAAATGCACACAGTGTCGTACCCGATGATGAATTGAGGACCGATAACTAAGCTGCGTTTCTGGTTCGTGCGTGATTTTCTTCCCTCATGGATAATGTTGTATTTTAATGGAGATTTCATTCTATAATTGGAGGCCATTCGTGTGAAAAAGCCGAGATCATTGTATAGCTGCTTTACCTTCATTGGGAATCATCAGCAATGTACATATCAGCAAACACCAATCGGGGGTCTCGAACCACCGACCCTTCAGCTAGGTACGAGACTCTGTGAAATTTCTTGAGGCCCACACTGCTGATGATTCCCAATAAAAAAGAAACAACTGTACACTACTTCTCAGCTTTTCAGACTAGACTGGCTTCAATTTCTCAACACGCACAAACAAATTGTTGGAATTCTTTTCGCACCCTACTCATTGTTTTTCTGCAACCCTTCAAAGGTATGAATGGAACGGGTGACTTTGCTCCGAAGCTGTTGGAAGAAATCTTCACAAATATTCAAAAGAATGAAATTGTCATGCCTAGTGAACAACTGGGCTTGGTTCGCGAAAACTACCTTTGGAAGGTGAGTAGTAGGACCAGTTCATATCACTTTCTAACGCAAGTCGATTATTGGATTAGCCCAGCTTAAACCGGATAGGGATAAAAAGCAGCGTCGGCCATGCGCGGCGCGTGCCGGATCATTGAGGCCAGCGTTGTTCGCTGTGTCCCTTTTATGATGGTATGGTGTGTGTGTGTGGGGGGGGGGCGAGATGGCCCAAGTGGCTAGAGCGCGAATTTACTGACCGGAAGGTCCGTGGTTCGAACCCGACCTCTTCCACTCGACTTCCCCTATCTAGGCTTGGGCGACCTGGCAGTATCCCATCCCTCGTGCAGCCTTCGGGTGGCATGGCGGTTAGGCACCGAAAGGGTGCTAGAGCTGAACGAACGTATGTGTGGGTCGTCTTTCAGGATGAGGCCTCCCTCTGCTTGACCGGAAGCGTCGCAGAATATGGCGGCTAACGGATGTGAGTGGCGTTCATGCTGTCAGTTCCCATCCAGGTCGCCTGATTGGATAACTGAAGACGGTTGGGACAAACTAGCAGCACGTTCACCGCAAATCTGTTCTTTTGTTTTCCACCTCGGTGCTTTAAAGGTGAACAAATTTCGTGGTTGGTTGGTATTGTGAAGCTGCAGTGTCAACATTGTTGTTGCTGACCACCAATGTGATGTGTTCAATAAGAAGATCGGAGTACCTTGAGAACAAGGCGTCTCCTTTCTAACAGTATCCTCGATTTGTCTTGATTCCCAACTTTGATCCAAAGTCCTTATCATCTAAAGGTGCTTTTGGGGGACTCTTTAGTTGTTCATATCCAGGTTACGCCATATTTGAAGCCTGTTCATTGCCAAAACTGTCGGGTTACCGTATTAATTCAAGAAAACTGACAGCCGCAATAAATATTGGAGGTTCTTAGCCCGGGTTTCCCTGACCCCTTTAACTCAGGACTATGGTCGTTGGTTTGTTCGCTGAGCTGGGCGATTTGGTGATGAAATGTTTGCAATCAAATTGCCCAGCTTGGCGAACGCTACCTGAACTACCAACATTTTCCTCTATAGAAAACAGCAGTTCACCGTCGTCCAAAATGCCACTCTGGCTTCTTGAGGGAATATACTACTCATAAGGCTGCTGAAAGCTCTTTTACAGCCCACGATTTCGCTCTTCTTGATTTCGTTTTCCTTAGGAGATCACCAGCTGGGAGATCCACTCAGATGATTTCTGTTCGTTGGCTTCATTGCACAAAAGTTGATTTGAAACTTACTACTGATATAGCGATGCCCATAAAAGACACATCTATCCCATATCATTTCTTTCCTCAACCGCTTTTTTCTGAGCAGTTGTCAGGATGGGCACGTTTTATTTGTTTGAAGGTGGGTTGTCGTTGCTCCATCTTTACAGTTTTCTCATACCGGCGCACTAGCAGCAGCCTGAGATCTTTCTCGATATCAAGTACGAAAAAACACCATTTACTAAGGCAATCTATTCGAGTAGAATCTTTCGGTTCAGTGACCACAATCCCTTCTCCGACTTTGTCGATTGTCACTTGTTTTTCACGGAAAAGTTACAGAAACCGCATGGGGATCCGGGAGAATACCCCCCTCAAATATGGTGTCCCTTGTTGTGAGCTCTTACTGCATCTTGCTTTTACATACGCAAATCTTCTCCTGTTCGCGCGTTTGTCTTGGGAGATTTGTGAAGGATTGTCTCTTCTAGCTTCTAAATTGTTTAGTCATCGACCAACGTCATCCAGAATAGGCCCTTTTTGAGAGAGAGATATCTGGACCGGATAACTGTGTTTAGTTGATACTTGATCGCGTTAGTTAATTCCCAACAACATATTTCATAACTACTAAGGTCTAAGGTGTTCTTCACCCTCGGTGTCCAGCGACAGATTCGCATCGTGCCGTCCAAATGGTTCGTTCTCTCCACATTCCTACTCATTTTATTTCGGACGGACAAGACAACAAGGGGGGAGTTTTTTTTACCATGGTTTTCGAATCAATTGGAGAACATTATGAGTTTTTTGTAGTACACTACTCATAAGGTTGCTGAAAACTCCTCGACAGCCCACGACCGGTTCCCGACCTTCTTGGAACCATCAGTTAGGCGCAGTACCCGAGTTTCCGTCAGCCTTATGTTCTACTTGAAAACAAATTGCACGAAATTAGCGCATACGCACTCATCTGTAAACTAATTTGGTTTTTTGGGAGACTCACCTGGAACCCAGCTGAATCTCTCGGGCAATTAGTTTCAAGTAGAACATAAGGTTGACGGAAACTCGGGTACTGAGCCTACCTGATGAGCCCCNTCGGGGACTGAGCGGGTACTGATGAGCCCCAAGAAGGGCGAAAATGGGTTGTCGAGGAGTTTTTAGTCATCTTATGAGTAGTGCATTACAAAATATGTATGTATCGCGATATCTCGAATATCGTAGCGGCTGAAACATGAGGTGGCCTGGTGCTGCACATTCAGTTGCCTGGAAACACCGAAACCGGGAGACTCTGCTGGGTTCCAGGGGAATCTCTCGAAAAACCATATTTGTTTGCAAATGAGTGTGTATTTCCGTAACATTCTGTATTATTCTTCCTTTCCCTGTGCCCAACCAGTGCCTACTCAGACGTGCCGCCACTTCCCAGGCCAACTTCGTGCATGTTCAAACTGGCACGCTGGATGCCGATTTGTTCGACTTGATTTGGGGCCCGACAGTGTCTGCGCTCTCATTCATTTTTGACAAGACAATCGATCCGGCCGTTCAGAACAAAGTGGTACACGGATTCATTCGATGCGCCGCTATAGCTGCGCATCATGGAATGAGTGATGTGCTGGATAACCTGGTCATTTCGTTGTGCAAATTCACCACGCTTTTGACCACAGCAGAGGCAAGTGTTCTTGGCTTTTTATCTATTCATCTCGCCCTCGTCCATTTTGTGCTCAGTGGTCAGGGCTCGAATTCACTAACCGGAATGTGTGTGATCCAAACCCAACCTCAGCGTTTCGACTGCTACTGTCTAGGCTTTGGCAACCTGCCAATACCCTCGTGCTTCCTTCGGATAGCATGGTAGCTGGACGATCATCGTTCACTCTCGTCATTTTCAATGCATATTATCATTTATTTTTGAAAAGCATGGTCACAAACATAAAAAGTGAATGCAAGCGATGAATGCGAAAGAGTAGCAGGAGAATATGGGAGAAAAGAGAGAAGCGTCTCATTCGAAATCATGCCAAGAACAGTTCCAGTCGGGTGAGATGAATCCCAAAGTATGTAAAGATTTTGATATGGAAACACGCCTCTAAAGACCAACAACCGAAGAAAGGACAAACAATGGTGAATGCTCTTCGAAGCGCGGTAGGCGCTGGCACAGTCAAGACTTGCACATCAGGCACAAAGTGTCCGTCATACTGGGTCTGGTGTGAGATCAAATGGCAAAAATGTACATTCAACGCCATGTGCCACGCATAAAAGTGTCAGAATTACGCAGAGAGCCCACAATGCCAAGCAAACACAAGTCACTGACTGCGACCTTAGGGAGTCCCAGTCCAATAACCGCCTTGGCGGATTGAGCAAAGCAGATCCCTCGATAAGAGATGATCATCGGTTGGTGAACCAGAAAGTCGACATCACGACCGATGGCATATAGGGCTGAGATTACGGCGAGGGAATATTCATCAGCACCATACTTTTGCTTCTCCCCATTCCACACAGTCACCCCGCGCCCATCTGAGACTATGCTGACGTCTATTACGGTTGTACGGCGATCTCGAACCGTTAGTTCGAATAGCGTAACTTATGAGCCAAACGTGTTATCGTGGCACTAGCATCAACTGTTCTTGCTGAGTCCGTTCACGACTGTCACCATACTTCGGGTACGCGAAAAAGCGTTTCTCCACTCATTCCATTTAGGCTCTGCTGTCATTCAAATCACTCGTGCACTTTTACTTATTCAACTAAGTGAAAATTGGCTCTTCTATACTCGGAAAACGAGTGCTCTCAAAAAAGTATATATTCGAAGATCACTAGGTGAAGCTGAAATTAGCTTTGACGTTCCAATCAATCCGCCCTTTTCGTCATTCTTCTCAAGACTATCGACTTTGGTTGTCGTTGGCTTGTTTGCTGAGCTGGGCAATTCGATTGCAAACGTTTTATCACCAATCGAGGTGACACACACAACACTACCCAACGCACAACCCACCGCTACGCACTACTACGCTTCACAATAACGCACTGATGATGTCACCTCGATTGGTGATGGAACATTTGCAATCAAATTGCCCAGCTCAGCGAACAAGCCAACGACCACCATCTACGCTACATGAGCTACCGTCATTTTCCTCTATAGAAAACTATCGACTTTGTTTTTTCTTACTGAGGTTCTGATTTGTGGGGAAGTGCAGGCGAGGGACCCGTGCAGGGGTTTCCATCAACGTCATAAGTAATCACCTTTCAAGAATATTCTGATATTCTTTTATGCTTTCCGACGCTACTGCGTTCTCTAGCAGGTCGACAATTCACGTGACCTTACTATCTTCAAGTCAATTAATGCCGCTACGTATTGTCGGACAGAATTCACGAAATGACCGGACAGCAACTAAGCGCGCAACCAGCGTCAGGCGAGTTGTCGCCAGTCTTAGGGTTTAGTCCTAAGCCTCGGTGACCTTGACCTGTGAGTTGGCGCCCAAGAGTAGTGTGTTTTGCCGATCCATTAGGAACTGATGATGAACGGTTCTTGCGAACTCGTTCACACGGACGTCTTATTGTTGGTGTGATGGCTATCCGACAGAATGGTGAAAATTTGTACGGAAGAACAATTCAGGAGGGATCAACTTTTCCAAATGACTGCTTTGCAATGCTCCTCTAGTGAAGTCTACGCGGAAAAACCTCCGAACAGAAAAACAAGCAGATCAAATCTCCATCGGTAGATTGGGGAGTTCCCCACTTTTTCTCATAGTTCAGGAGATACTCCCCAAGACCGCCACTCACCGCATTTCGAGAGCTGTGAGTGACATTCACAATCAACCGAGCTCGAGGTAGCTCGCATACGTACCAACCGAAAGGTTCGAACCCAGTTCAGGATCTCAACTGTTCCTGTATTCGTTTGGGAAACCGAGCAGTATCTCGTTCTTCCTTCGGGTGGCATGGCATTCATGCACCGGTCCCACCTCTGGACTGGCCTTCGGAGTCCAGATAGTCAAGCACAGATTGATGGCCTGCGGTACCTCTTCTGATTTAGGTTATGCTGGGACGATAACAAGGCGTGTAGGCTATTATCCATTAGATCGACACATCCAGTGATTTCTTCCATCCTTGCCTATCTGGTCAGATCTAACCATCAGTCACGACTTCTTTACCCGGCTCCAGCTCCTCGATGACCAAAACTACTCCCGAGCCCTTGAGGTTGCCCCTTCCAATCATAGTCTCTTGATTCTGATTGGCGGTAAGATGAGACAGAAATTGTGAGAGAACGGGTCACAAACACGCATGGGTAAGTAGGTTAGCCGCACACATACATGCTTACGTACCAGTGTCGGATGGAACGGCCTTTGCGGCAAGCTTAATGGCGAGTACAGATGAGCAAAACGAGTGGAGATCAAAAGTACATAGGCGGAGTAAGCAACTATAGTCGTAGCCCGTCGAGAACATCAGATCACTAACACTGAGACACACCAGAAGGAAAGGTCACCATCTCTCTACCTGGATCACTTCGAACTCTGTGGGTTTCACAGATTAGGGTAGCTAGTGCTTATGCAACAGGGTTGTTTAGATCGCAGAGCCATCTTCACCAAGTCATGTCCCGGATGGAGGCGGTCCAAGGACAGTCAGTCCATGACGTAGCAAGGAAACGGAAAACTCTCACCACTTGCGTTGGTAACTGCCTTGTTTGTGGATGGGGATCCCGGGACTTGTCAAACTTATGCGTAGTGACTCTGACTGATATGACTTTGGGAGGCAGCCGGCTTTTTGTCTTATCTGACAAACAGGGTCTTTCATAACTGGTCAACTTGACCATCGCTTTCCATTCCTATGTGCTCCCTGCCTCGACGCTGTAGGGGGAGGCAGCCGGCTTTTTGTCGTATCTGACAAACAGGGCCTTTCATAACTGGTCAACTTGGTCATCGTTTTCCACTCCTATGTGCTCCCTGCCTCGACGCTGTAGCCTTTGGACACACACAGTACTTGGGTAAACGGTTTGTCGCTGAGAAACTGACTGACGGAACACTGTTCGAAACGATGTGTCTCAGATCATTTCCCCCAGTCTAGTCAGTATTCACGCGCTCCAGACTACCGGACCGATTTCCCTCAGGTTTTGTAGTTCCGTTCTCTGTGTGCATACACCGTTAGTCGATTCCCCCAATTGAAATGTCTACGTTAGGCAGTCGCCTGGTTGCCCAAGCCTAGACTGGGGAAGTCGAAAGGCAGAGGTCAAATTCGAACCACGTACCTTCCGGTCAGTAAATTCGCGCGCAATAAAAAATATGGTCTGAAAAACAAAGTATTTACTAGAACACTGGTGAGACGGAGTTTTTTTACATCAAGCTTCCATCCAACAGAAATGTCTTGCCCCAACATCAACACGGAATGCCTGTCTTCTTTCTGCCTAACAAACAGCCTCCTACCGGATTGCCTGTTTATATCGGTCGGAATGCCAAAGGTCGTTTGGCTTTACGCTTGGTATTCGCGCTCACATCCAGCCACGCTGACATACTCCGCTACGGTTGGCATTCCCTTCTGGACTGCTTACTCCAACTCTTTCGTGCTGGTCTCCTACCCGACGAACTGACTGAATCGGAAGATTTCCTCGCTCCGTCTCGCCGGGTCCGTCTAACCACCAAAGGTTGCATTCCCATACCGGACGTGAAAACCGGAAAGCTTGGTCGAAATGCTACGGGAACAGAGCAATCTGGTCGGTGAGTTTTCTATTCCTTTCGTAAAGTTAGGCTTATGTAATCTCACGTCGATGATTCCCGCTCCCCACCGATATTTTCTTTCGGTTACTGTTGACCTTAGATACCGACAGAAATTAGACAGATGATGCGATTGAGCACCCATGATACCCGTCTCTCAATCGACTGGGTGTTAGGCAGGAATCCACAGGAATCCTGCTATACTGCACTTCTTCAGGCCCTGCTACGACCGATAAGCCTAGCCCGCACGAGATTGGCCAAGAATTCGGGACGCCTGCCGGTCCGGCATCAAGACGAGATCTGATTCGTCGCGAATCTCGACCCAACAGCCAATCATGACCCAGTATTGGCCAAATGCCGGTTGCCGATGGCGTTTGGGCATTAATAGACCTTGTGCACCTTTGGTGGTTGTTTGACGTGAACGCTAGCTTGGGAGGCTCAGACCGATAACTAAGCTGAGGAAAGTACCGTTACTATACTGGTGCTATAGTCTGTAAGGCTTCTCTTCGTTGTTTGTCACCCTAACCAGCCATAATCCACCATACTACCGTGCTCTAATGAGCAAATCGTTGGAGGGGTAGGATTGCTTCAGCTCCAGCCTGAACGTAACCAATACTGACCAACTAAGCTAAAAGCGGATTGGCTCTCCACTGCTTAGCTGACCACGACTGATGGTTTCTTTACTCGCGGATATATATGCTTTTCCACACGTCCTGTGGCTGAGTACTCAATCTGTCATCCGTAGGCAAGCCTTCCGCTTTGGACAACTTTCCGTCATTTGCCTATGAGTTTACCGGTTTCACTGCTCTTTGTTTGTAGCGAATTGAGCGTGCTTACTTCCTTCTATCAATACCTGACTTCGGGATCTGGATGGATCGGTTCGGATCGTGAAGATGAACCGGATGAACCGGCACAGACTACACAGCAGAAAGCACACTCCGAGAGTTCCTGTGTCGATGTAAAACACGTATCAAACACAGATTTCCTTATGGACGATCAGCTGGGTTTTGGCTATTGGATGGATGCACCGGCAAGCGCTCAGCTCGACGAACATCGTGCAGCTCGTGTGGCTTTGGACACTGTACGACAGTGTGAAATAGTACAACTTGTCAAGGACAGCAAGTTTCTTGTTGATGCTTCTTTGGCCGAACTCATCAAGGTATGTTTCCCTCTGTTTCCGTTTTATCAGAACTTTCTTTGCTGTCAAAAGTTATTCATCTCACGCGCTTATCGATTGTCTATCCTTGTACTACTAGCAAAGTGCAGTCTTGCTCATTGAAGAAATGACTCACCCTCTCACTCATAAGGTTGCTGAAAACTCTTCGACAGCCCACAACCGGTTTCGCCCTCCCTGGGGCTCATCAGTTAGGCACAGTCCCAAAGTTTCCATCAACCTTATGTTCCAGTTGAACCCAAATTGCACAAAACTAGTGAAATTCACTCATTTGCATACCAATTTGGTTTTGATGGGAGACTCACCTGGAACCCAGCTGAATCTTTCGTTTACGATGTTTTCAGGTAACACACTCAGTTGTTTAAAAACACCACCGCTTACTTCTGTTCTTCATATCTTCCTTTTCCGCTACTTAATGAAATTTCAATTGTTAGTGTGTTTTAAATATCTTTTTGAGGCATACTATCAAAAATTTTGTTTACTTTGAAGTCTCAATACGTTTGTATGTCGTCGCTCAGCTGTAACACCCCTCCGCTGCTTTACTGCCATGCTACCCGAAGGAAGCACGAGGGCGGGAATACTGCCAGGTTGCCCAAGCCTAGACAGGGGACGTCGAGAGGCAGAGGTCGGGTTCGAACTGTGACCCTCCCGGTCAGTAAATTCGCGTTCTAACCACTTGGGCCATCTCACCCTACGTTCGCATGTCCATGACAGGCACAGATTAGTGTGTATAGTGGTTATCACTTTAGGTAATCAAAAACAGGGGCGGGATGGCTCAGGTGGTTAGAGCGCGAATTTACTGACCGGAAGGTCCGTGGTTCGAACCTGACTTCTGCGTCTCGACTTCCCCTGTCTGGGCTTGGGCAACCTGGCAGTATCCCAGCTCTCGTTTTTCCTTCTGGCGTGGCATGGTAGTTAGGCTTCGAAAGGGTGCTACAGCTGAATGATTATCATTAATGCAGTCATGTTGTCACTGGCGATTGATCCCCTCCAAGAATCTGGAACCTTGGCGAATCACTGTCAGTTTGCTTGTAGCGAGTTTCCCTCTGTTTCATAGACTCAGCCAGTGTTTGTTCAATTCTAGTTTGGTCAGAATGACCTCTATACTCACCAATTGTTGCACAAGGTTGACACAGATCAGACTAAGCGTTGTGTGCCAGTTCATGTGGAAACCACTTTCACATGCCATTTTCCCAACAGAATTCTCGCCTCTGTTCTGCCTTTTTTTTCAGGCCTTACTTCGCGCCATACGTGGTGATGACTGTGCAGTCGTACATGCTTCCAATTCCAATTTGTTCTTCGAACCAACCGCCAGTACGCACTGCGATGGTGAACCGGGCATTTCTCACGCTCATTCAATATCCACCCTTTCCAAGCCGGCCGATGCGAATTCGCAATCGGTCCCCGGCGGGACGGAAGATGCCATCATTGTCCCTAGCCCACCTCCAGTGGAGCACTCGCTCAGACGCAGTATGACTTTGCCCAGTAGCACTTCCTACTACCCGGCCTTTTGTGCCACTGGTGACACACCCTCAGAAGATTGTAGAATATTTTGTCTCGAATTGCTCATTCGAATTTTGTTGTACAACCGAGATCGTGTCTCCAACCTGTGGCCGTTCACCCAGTGCTATTTGGCCGACGTGTTGCTCACCGCCGCAGAGCCCAGTCCACTTACCGAGCGTGTGATTGTCGGTTTTCTGCGTCTAGCCATATGTCTGCTACGTAGACACGAAATGACATGTCAGGTAATTGCTGTTCATCCATCTCTTGTGATCACTAGTCAGAAATCTTCACCCCCCATTACAGTTACCTTGTATGTATGTATGTATGTATGTATGTATGTATGTATGTGTGTGTGTGTGTGTGTGTGTGCAGGTCTCTGATCCGCATACACCTCTTATCCTGGTTCGTCATCTGTTTTCTAATTTTTTTCAGTTGGTTACTTTTTCACTCGCATCACCAGAATGAGGACGCTAGTGCGTAACTGCAGCACACCTATGCAAATTCGTAAAGATTATCAATAATCGTTCAGCCACGACATCCTTCGGTGCCATTTCACCCGAGGGGAGCACGATTGATCGAAGGTACTACCAGGTTTCCTTGTACTACACAAGAGATGTTAGGCATGTGTTCGAACCACGGACCAACTGGTCCATGCATAAACAACATCAGCCCGTCTGTAGCAATCAACTAGGTGCCTTCCAGCAATTTATGCCGCTGCACATTGCCTCTGCTGTTCGGTTTCCTCGTATGAGAAGAGACAGAATCACGGATGGCCCCCTTTTCCTAATCATGTTTTGCCTTCCCATCAGTGTCACCAAGTCGAATAGGGCCCGGTTCTAAAGTTCCTGCAGAACAACAATCCACAAAAGTACGTTTTTCAGAGCACGCATGGAAAATGATTAGCGAATAGTTTGGAAAGGATTTCGCTCGAGCAACAACAGATATCTGGCAGGTAAAGATTAAAAAAGGTAATCAGTCAGCTGTAACACCCTTTCGGTGTCTAGCTTCCGTGCCAGGCGAAGGAAGCACGAGGGCGGGGATACTTCTAGGTTCCCCAAGCCTAGACAGAGGAAGTCGAGAGGCAGAGGTCGGGTTCGAACCACAGACTTCCGATCATTAAATTCGCGCTCTAACCACTTGAGCCATCTCGCACCTACGACGCAAATTTATTGGACAGATCTAGTGATACCGGTTCCTCTTGGGGGCACCTGTGCGTAGGTTGCTGTAGTGACCGCGATACCTGTAGGAAGCAAACCATGTTGACCAGGTGATAGTATTAATGTGTACACATCAGAATATCAAAGTTAACACTCAAATATCGTAGTATTTACTACTCTATAAACTTTTCTGGGCTATTTCCATGGCGCCATCTCCTTTCTCCTTCCATTTTTCAGATATTTGCCTGTCTACATTACATCTTACTCACTCGAGGTGATCATCTCCTGCTCGACTGTTATCAGGCAGTCGCTGGCACAGCCACTGCAGTCGATCGTTCCAAGCCGGTTGCCGGTCAGTACCGGAACCAGAGCAAAAATACGGTTGGTTTGCAGATAATCGCCGGCTTGACACACTTGTTACGTAATCATGCCACAGATTTGCCGGACCCCGCCTCGGACTGGCAACTCATATTCAGTCTGATAGATGTTTGTGGCGCGGGTCTTCGCGCCGCACCACTTGCGTCTCATCGCCACAACAGTTCGCGTCAGACACACTGTAAGTAGAGCTTGCTGTCCAGTTCCATTTAGGATTTAACATTTTCTTTTTTGCATTCACCTAGAATTTGTGTAGGTCCTGAGACCCCACCCGAGCAATCCATGATGTCAATCCGTTCCATCTTCTCGTACATTGTCCATTCTTATTTCAGTTAGACGTCGTAAAAAAAACAGCCCGTTTATTTCGATTCTGGGTGAACTCTTCATACTGGTTAGTGTAAAATAAGCCTGGTGCCAACTGGTGAGAAACGTTCGTTTAATCGAAGTCGAACTATTCCATCGTATTTCCCGTGTATAACATCGATGCTGCTCGATGAAAATACAAGAATCTATATACCGTCAGGTTGCCCAGGCCTGGACTCGTAACGGTCGGGATACCGGTTTGAAGCGCGGACCTCTCGGTTAGCCGCCTCGCGGTTCAACCATTGAGCTGTCGAGATGCCAGTGTTTCGTTCACCGAGTATGAATGGAAATGACCGAGGAACAGCCGGATATCCAAAGGCGATAGCATAATAGATCCGTCGACATCATTTGGAGTGGGTGGAATCGAGGCATCTACCGGCGCTACCGGTTGTTTGACTGAACCATGTCGTGAACTGATGCCCCGGTTCGGGAAACAGAATTTCTCAACATGACTAGGTTTACTGCTTCGCGGTTCGGTATGCGCTTCACACCTGGAAAGTGTAAAGTGCTACTGCAAGACTGGGTGGGCTCGAACCCTAGCCTCATGCTTGCGGATGAACCGATTGAGGTAGTAGACAAATTTGTCTACCTGGGCAGCTGTATCAGTCCCGGTGGTCTCGTGGAAGATGATATCTCAATCCGGATTGGGAAGGCCAGCTTTTGTGAACCTGCTTCATTTGCGGCGCAGGCGTGACATCAGCTTAACCGTCAAGGGTGGAGTTGACACTGTTGCGGTGCGCTCCATATTACTATATGGATAGGAAACTGGCCGCTACGCGCCGAGAACATTAAAAGACTTTCAGTGTTTGACCATCGATGTCTTCGGAGCATTGCCCGAATCTGGTGGGAACACCGGATAAGCAATGCTGAAGTACGTCGAACGGTATTCAGAAGAAATTACTCACCCTCGATAGATGGACTAATCGCACTGCATCGGTCGCACTGGCTTGACCGCGTGCTGCGTATGCCAGTCGACCGAATTCCTCGAAGGGTTCTTTTTGCACAACCACGTGAAGGGTGGAAACGAGCCAGAGGCGGTCAAACGATGACTTGGCAGCGAAGGACAGGCCATTACTATCAAACTCGGTTGCGCTGATCATTGGTGTCTTCCTGGATGTGAATCCCGAGACGGTCCACATCAATGGTTCGAGACATTGTCAGACATGGCCAAGTCGCGCCCTCAATGACGCACGTGCATCCAAGCTTTGGCTTTCAATGCATAGCTCTCTTCCCGATCCCCTTACTTAACAGTTCATCCAGTGACAGTGTTGTATTTACGCACAAATTTATCAGCTCCCGTCCCCAATATGTAGCTACCTACCCCCTGCGTATGCCAGTCGACCGAATTCCTCGAAGGGTTCTTTTTGCACAACCACGTGAAGGGTGGAAACGAGCCAGAGGCGGTCAAACGATGACTTGGTAACGAAGTATGGAAGCCATTACCAACGAACTCGGCTGCGCTGGTCATTGTCGTCCTCCTAGATGAGGACCATGAGACGGTCCACATCAATGGTTAGAGACATTGTCAGACATGGCCCTTCAATGCATAGCTCCCTTCTCAATCCCCCCACTTGACAGCCCACAGACAGTGCACCAATCAATCATCTCCCGCCTTCAACGCGCAGCTACCTACCACCCTCCAAATCATCGGTGAACGAAACTGCGGCAGCTACAACCACTGTGCGACAAGTGCGCGGTTATTACAGCTCACAATGATGATGACTGGTCAAAGCCTCCACTTTTTGTTGCTGACTCCTAATTTGGCCAACTTTCGATTATTTTCCTCCTATATATGGCTAAGCGAAAAGATTCATCGGAACGGACGACGTTCCATTTGCAGAACTTACGTGGTCCTAGAGCACCTCAGTCTTCCAAAGCAGCTACACCAGTCCTCACCGGACATGACGTACCACCTAAGAGTGCTGTAATAATCAACACACTTCAGACAATGCCTGATAAAACAAGTACTAATATTAGTAATAGTGAAAGTGAGAACGTCTGGTCGGCCAACACGAACTAATCGGTTACAAGCTATTAGACATGAAAGTAACACTCTCATTTGCGCAGAATATTTGGAAAGTGAACATTCCCAAGTGTCCTCTTGAACTTCACTGGGCTTTCTTTTAATATCAAGTCAAGTAGTCCCATATTTTTCACACCAACATTCCATCAGTTGCGGGGGACGGCGTTTTGAATCCTGATCAGGCACTAATTACGTGTTTCGTCAGTAGTACACACCGTTACGTTAGCAGTACTGGTGTAACGGTGGATACTACTGATGAGGGGCATGCGAGTAGTATGCTTTCTCGTAAATCAGCTTGGAAAGTGAGATCTATTACGGAATTTGTGGAGTCGCTTTTTAGCATCTGCTTGCATTTGAGTAATAGTCAATGAATATCCAGGAAAGTTCAGGAAGACGCGTTTAACGAGAGGATGGATATTCACTCTTGTAAACAAGATGCACTTGAGAGTTCTGCTCCCCTCTCCAATAGTCTGTGACTGTTTCGTTGGTGTTCCTCTAACAAACACCTCCGCAGCGAAGGCCTTCTTCCTTTCGCTGGTATTGATAGCGGCATTGGCAGGACTCCGGGACTGTTTTGTTAATAAAAATGCTGCCTAATGCGATGTGATTTATTCCAAAATCGTGACCAAACGTAGCCGCGGAAGGATATTAGGTTAGTCCAAGTGGCAACATGTTGAGAGCTTGGAAGCTTGCGTACTGCCATTGACTTTTGATCAGGTGGCTGTTGACCTGTTCACGAAGTTTGGCAGCTGGCTTGAAAGCGTAACGTTACCAGTCGACGAGATCCAGCTAATCTCACATGGGTGTTTCTCCAGTTACGAATCTGTCAACAGTCCTCCGAACTTTGGTCTCAAGACACTGACGACAGTCTTCATCGATCGGATGCGTTCACCATCTAGCTTTAGCGGACAGTCGGGCTTAGATAATCGCACTGGCAAAGAGAGGGGCTGTTGTATCGTGGGTGCCCGTCTATTGATTACGCCTGCACTGAGTCTGCCAGACCACGCGATAAGGAGAAGACAGAGAACTGAGGACACGGCTGTTATCGTCGGGATGACTAAATGCCCAAATATGGTCGTTCACTTGTTCGTTCTGTACAGCCAATGCCGGTGTGAACAATTTCAGGCACACTACGCTGGTCGCATGTTGCCAAGCCGTGTTTGGTGTGCTGCGTCAACTTTCCGGACGTGTCGTAGCGATGGTGACCTTGGGGATGCGTCACTCTCTGCACATGAACTTTTTTCCTGTCTGGGCGCGTCCTGACAGGGGCGTAGGTCTGTGAGGCGATTTGGAAGCTTCTGTGGCAGTAACTCGTTGGGAGGCGGCAATTCGATCGATTGAATATCTACCGAAGTGGCTTCTTCTGTAGACGGCATAACATTTCAGTACTTTATGCCAAGCGAGCCTCCATCCCACAAAGCAGTCAGTCTTTCCAGTCTTTGCTTGTGGAAGAATCCTTTCTGGCCAGGTTATCGCCTAACTATCTGGGACCTGTATTGAATTGCACCAGCATATTCATAAATTCATTGTCTTTACAATGCTTCCTTTTGTGTGATTCTACAGCTGTTACACGTACTGCTGAAGATTGTGATGAAGAATTTTTCGTGCCGCATGTCACCGAGTCGACCTGTTTCTTTCTGTCAACTCTCCGCGGCTGTCAATTAACCCCATCAATCAATTTCTCAGCTATAAGCCGTGCACCGTAGGCAGAATAGTTCTATCTGCAACAGTTTCGATCACTGGAAAGTGTGAAACATACAACCAAGCCTTAAAGGCGGTAGCATGTTTCGTTGCTTCGAGAACTGGGTAGCTACACACTGAAGACGATAACTTTGATGAATCAGCACGATTGGTGCCATTTCCGCCAAGGTCATTAGCCACAATGAAATGTCCACCTCTTGGTCACTTCCACTCACCGCACGGCTGGGCGAAAAAAAACTCTGCAAGGTAGACGGTCTTCTGGCATGTGGGTACATGGAGCGTGGGTCATTCATCTAATTCATCATCTAGAACAATCTGGTGTACCTTTGCATTCCTAATCCCGTGTTCCCATCAGATCCGACCAAGGCTTCGCAGTCACCGATAGTCAAACGCTGACCTCCTTCGAATGTCCTCTGCACTGACAACATTCCAAATCAAATGGAGGTGTGAATAGCAAAACAAAGCGTCGTTCGTTTCTTCTGTTTATAGTCATTACTCTCAAAACGACTACCTGTGCCTCGTGTTTATTAAGCACACTGGCAGTGACGGGGCGAGATGGCTCAAGTAGTTAAAGCGTGAATTTGCTGTCCGTGGTTCGAACCTGACCCCTGCCTCTCCACTTCCCCTATCTAAGTTTGAACAACGTGGTGGCATTCCACCCTCGTGCTTCCTTTGGGTCGCATGGCAGCTAGGCACCGAAAGGGATGGCGACACTGCATAACTACTACATGCGTTACCGATTTGATTTCACCGGGTATTTTGTTTCACTTTAAACACAAACTCGAATATCCCTTAGTCTTTTTCATCATCACTGATCACGAACTTTTTGTACTGAAAATAAGTCCATCATGATGCGTCTGAAGCAGAAACTTCACTAGCTTCTGTTTGTTCTTAAAGATCGTTTGTAAAATTCCGTTGTAACAACGGATGTATTGCAGAAGCCCAACATGAAAACACATCAATTAATGATAGTGATAATCGCTCAGATGTAACCCTTCCCCCGCTCGATGCATAGTTATCATGCTACGCGAAGAAAACCTAGACAAGAACCATGGAGTTTCCGGGGTTGGGTTCGAACCACAGTCTAGTGCCTCAACCACTGGGCTATCTCGCACATGTACAGGTCCCAGTTGTACTGTTCTGACTCACTGTGATCCATTCAAAGAGTTGTCTGTCTTTCTAATTTCGACTATCCGTGATTGTTTCGCTATTCTTACTATTCCAGACTCTAGCATGCACGACATCGCTTCGGCTCGCGTGCCCCTTTCCAGTCCACATGTTTCCCGAGGCTACACGAGTGACAGCGAAGCAACCGACTATTGTACTTCCTTCCCTTCCGACTCGGTGCCCGCCGCTCAACCGACTGGCGAAGAGAAACAGACTGAAAAACGTGCTGTGAGTCTAAGCTCCTCGACAGTGCCTCAGTCCAAGCGGCGGTTTGATAATGCGGCAGCGGCGTGGGTTATAGTCGATGTCGAACCCAGACAATCGGTCGAGCTGTCTACTGCAGAGCCCGCTGGAGTTCGAATGATGCGTACGTGCCATCCAACTAGGGTTCTTGTTCTGACACGGTTTCATTCAATCACGATCACTAATCTGTGTACTCTTCTCCATTCCAGACGACGCTTCTGTTCACTCCCCCACTGCTCTCCCGCATTCGGTGAAGACGCACCACTTGGTTCCATCTCATCTCCTTGGTCTACATATTACCATTGGCTCTCGAGATCCGGTTACCATGAAACAAGCTGCTGATTGTTTGGACTTCCTAATTCGCGATCCGACTTTCATTACTCCGGATAACTTTGAGGTAAACTTTTGGATTAATGTTCTGCGTTTCTTTCTCTCTCCACAAACTTGTCTTTGGCGACTGTGAGTCTGGAAGAGCGATAGAAACATGTTTTTTTTCCGAGCCGATTGGTAAAATTGTTTATAATTCTAGAGCTGTTTGTGAGAGTGCTATGGTTTTTGTCTAGACGTCCTCGTTTTTCAGGTATCATCCCAACTGTTATGGCAAAAGAAGGCGCATGATCAACCATGGATTCTCGGTGGGAATCGACAGAAAGTCGACACATTCAGGGAGGTATGTGCACTGTGAGTCTTCGCATCCACACTACGTCAGACGGGCAGTTGTCGGATCGCTGGCGAATCGCATCAAGAAACTAGGCTCGGACGAGTCCGGACGAACTGGCGCGTCTCAGTAGGATATGAGAGCAAAACACATGCCCCACGAGGCGCATTCACCAACAGATGGGAAGAACGGTGAGACAAGAAGACAAAAACCCTGTGGTCACCGTGGGAATAGCCTATAAAGTTGGCACTTCAGATGGCGTTTGAAAATACTTCGGGATTATGATAGTAAAACGTTTTGCCGAATTGACAACACGTTACAACGACACCTTATGAGGGCCAAGGACTCGGTCGAACTGAAACTGCGTCTACCAGACCCATAGGTCAGACAGCCAGACATTCCGTGTACGAATCACGGAGCACAAACGACACGCGCGTTCTTCTGCAAGAAACCCAATAGAATTGAAAAGAAAACTAGAGCACGATTCAGGCATTGCACTCCACGTATTTAAATGAAGTCATCAAATCAATTTCGATGGCACACGTATATTGCATTAAGGATTCAATTCACACATGAAGCGGACGTGCGCTGAGGCCTTAGAGATCAGCACACAGCCGAACTGCATCAATCGGAATGATGGCGCCAGCAACCCGTCTATCTGGATTCAACTTACTGCACATCTTAGCAGGCCTGGTAACCAGAGGTCAAGCGGAGATCTCAACAATGACGCATCATAGCCAACAGAACCACAAGCAGAGGCACGTCCTAATCAAAGTACACACACAATCACGTGTACACACTGGCCGAATCTGACTGCCAACCACTCACAGGAATGCACTAATCAGAAGACGATAGTGGACCTAAATGTCGCTGCATTTGACCCCTATTCAAATGACTGTGAGAATCCTTGAGAAAGGTTACCCACGGGAAATGAGGCGTCGGTTTACAACAACCGCACTGTGTTGACCTTTGAAAAATTCCATATAACACCTATCAGTCACTTCTGAGAAACTCGTCATCATCGGAGGTAGCTCTGCTGTACAGCCATAAAGTTTATCTTAGAGTGGTAAGAAGACAAAAACAGTGAGTGAGGGAGGAGACCTGGTGCTGGCTTGTCGCAAGCATTCTGAGGCGCTCAATCAGACAACCTGGAGAGAAACTGTAGTAACGGTATTTTTCTCCGCTTAGTTCTCGGTCTGAGCCTCCCAAGCTAAGGTTCACGTCAAAACAACCACCAAAGGTGCACGACGTGTATTAACGCTCAAAACGAAGTCACGAACGCTTGTACAGCGTAGGCGGAGATAATTTTCTGGAAATTCTGACGCCTTCTGGATGCGCCATTGGCAACCGGCATTCGGCCAATACTGAGTCATGATTGGCTGTTGGATCCAGACTTTCGACCAATCAGATCTCGACTTCTGTGCCGGACCGGCAAGCGTTCCGAATTGTTGGCCAAACTCGGCCGTAGCAGCACCTGACTGCGAGCGGTAAAGAGGGATCTGTGTGGAGTTCCGCCTAACAGAAGCTGACCTCGATCAGCCACCATTTCCTGTAATATCTGCAGCCAAGCGCAGCCAGGGTCATGGGGACCCTCTCCTGGAAGGTTTATTCACTGTTTACTGCCATGTTTTCCCGCCTTTCATGAGAGTCGTCATGCTTCATTTCACGGCGTGACTAGTACCAAAACGAAACCCATCTTTTCGGGTTCTACGTTTTTCAGATTCGAACGATTTCTAAGAAAGACGCTATTCATGGTTAATGTATTTGCAACTTGTATCGCTCCATTTGTTTTCGGTTGTGAGCTCACGCAACTACGCGCAGCCATCACAACTTCAAGACGTCCACTGCATTGTAGTGTAGATTCTCGGATACAACGAGTTGCGTAAAATGATCGATCTTCATTGCTTGTTCTTTATGAAAACCTCTTTTTGTACACAATACTCGACACTTTGAATTCTTGTCTTTTCCAGTACTGTGTTCGAACATTACGTGTCTTTGTGGAAGCATGTCTGCGCCGAAGTTCCAGCTTGACTTTGGAACGCGCCTCTCCCGTTATCGCGCCCAACCACACCCCAAAACGTCCCAATAGATCTGGCTTCGGTAGGAAAACTACAGGATTCATGGCTGGGCTCCGCTCGACCGGATCAGAATCTGGCTCGGACAGTGATGAGGATGGCAAAGAACGGCGAAACAGAAATGCAGAATTGGCTAAGGAAGTGTTTCTCAGTCCCACGACGGGCGTGATCGCCATTCAGGTAGACATTCATTGCTTTTCTCCCTGTCTCATATCTCCACCGTAGTTCTGATAACCCTCTCTATCTATATATATGAGGAGTTTTTCTCCAGCGACCCTCCCTGTTACGCTCCTTTAGGTGAATACGACAGTCCTTCCCGACCGAATGTGCTCGGTATATCCGAAGTTCTGATAGAAAACGAGTGGTGCGGCATGTATTCACACAAATTTTTTTCTAGTTTGTCTACGCGATAAAACATATTGGTCGTTGGTTTGTTCGGTGGGCCGGGAAATTTGGTCGCAAGCGTTTCATCATCATTTATTGCTAGGGTGCATGGTGGAGAGCATCGGTGGGTCGGTGTGTTTGACTTGAGTAGTGTTGCATGTGTGTTAATATACGTGCTGCTAGCCGGGATTGACTTTCGGTCACGATTGGTTGTTCCGTCGGGTGGTTCCATTGGTTGATCTGTGATCTTGTGTCCCGATCACAGGATAGCAAACCAACCAATAGAACCGTCCGACCGAACAACCAATCACGATTGAAGGCTCGCAACATGTATATTAACACAACCACCGACCCATCGCTGCACTCTACCACGCTCTCTAACAACGCACTGATTGGTGATGAAACGTTTGCAGTCAACTTGTCCAGATCAGCGACAAAACAACAACTATGTAAGCTACCTGAACTGGCAACATTCTCCTCGGACACGTTACCAATTTTTTCACGGCTGTTTCTCTTTCAGCTTTTGGACTTGATCCACTTGCTGCTCACCCGTGTGTCCTCCATCTACACGGAATGGACCCGCTCTCCTCTTCCGGAAACCATGGGAACAGAAGACGCACCAAAAACCGCCGAAGCGTGTGATGAGCAACAGCCGGAGGTGGATACAGAATTCCTTTGGTCTAACTGTTGGCGTCCACTCTTACAAGCCATTGGCCGCCTCTGTTGTGATTGCCGTAAAGACGTGCGGACCGATGCGCTGGCCTATCTCCAGCGCGCAATTCTGTCGCCAATTCTCCAGTCACTATCCGGCAAACAGTGGGAGGATTGCTTCGATAAGGTAAATCACGTTGCGATTCTCCCACAATGAGCGCATTCACGGCTCCAAGGCCTGGTTGTACGTCCCACATCCTGTTGGTCGAAACTGTAGCAGCTGGAATCAATGTGCCTATGGTACACGCTCTATAGCTGATAAACTGATTTGATTGCGTGCGCGCGTGCGTGATTTCTTTATTCTCTAGAACCAGAACAGTCTGGTGCATAAGATACGTTCTACTACATTTTTCAGGTTATATTCCCACTGTTGTCTGGATTCTTGGAAAGCATCGCCCTGGACGAAGCGGTAGCCGCCCAAGCAGACAGTTCAAACACGACTGGACGCAACTCAGCCAGAAGCTCTTCTTCGGTTCACTTCAACACTGTTGAGTTTGTCGATCCTCGAATGCGTGCCATTCCCCTCTTGACGAAGGTGTTTCTTCAACACCTCCGACCACTTCATGACTTGGCTAATTTTCATTCCCTTTGGTCCCGCATACTCAGCTACATGGAACAGTACATGCAGGCCAGCAGCTCCGATTCACTGGTAAGTTGAGAACTAAGCTGCGACAGTTGGCCTTTTCAGGGCCTTCGCTTGAATGTTTTCTCTTGTGTCCTGTCTAATGTGACTGACTATTTCACTGACTATTTCACGTTCTTACGAATTTGGGCAGGTTTCCCAAGTGTGTCCAACTGCCCCGTCACCCGAAAGAACTACGAGGGCTAAGATATTGTCAGGTTACCCAATTCTAGACAGGAACAGCTGAGATGTCAGTGTAGGGCTCGGACCACGAACCTTCCGGTAAGCAAGTCAGTAAGTGATAACCGCTACACCATGGGACCGGAGGTCCCACCGAGATGGCCCAAGTGGTAAGAGCGCGGAAGGTCCATGGTTCGAATCCGACCTCCCTGTCTAAGCCTTGGGCACCTGGCAACCAGCCAGCTCTCAGCCCTCGTGTGGCATGGCAGCACTGAAAGGGTGCTACAGCTGGACGAAGTCACTAAGTGTGATGAACTTATGTGTAGTGAGAATCTCACATGGTCCTTGCTCATCTTCCAGAGGTGAAAACTGAGCTTGTGCAACCGAATGAATTGTTATGTCCTCTCGTAAAATCTCGTCACACCTGATTAATGTACCCGTTTCCGTGATTTATGCCCATATGGGCACCGCACCCCATGGCAATGGTTCCCCAAAAATGAACATTCCACCGATGGAAAAGGAACCACCAGGAGTAAAGACAAGATCTATCATAAGTACTTGTGCGATTTAATCAGGATGCCTGTTAAAGTTTGTGTAAACGTTCTTGCTGACAGAACCATGAGTTTGCAACCTCTCCTCTATCTATCGAAAGCCACAAAGGCGAGTGACACCATATTTCTACCATGCTGACCAGACGTCCATTAGACCTCCCGAAAGCACTTAACACTCGTGGGTATCATCTACTGCAGGTTGTGCTCATCGTGACCCAACCTCTCATCTCGTACTTTGCTTACTTGTATGCACTTCATGCCTCCATGTGATTACTTACTTATTCTTGATGTTTTTCATCGACTGAATTTTTTTTGAACCTGAGTGTATTTGTAGAAATCAGTCCAATTTGGGTTCAAGTAGAACATAAGGTTGACGGAAACTCGGAGACTGCGCCTACCTAATGAGCCCAAAGTGGAAGGGCGAAACCGGTCGTCGGTTGTCGAAGAGTTCTCAGCAACCTTGTGAGTAGTTTCCTGCCTGAGTGAGGATACTTCATTTTTTTCGCAATATCTTTCCACAGACTGACGCGGTAAGGGAATCGTTGAAGAACGTCTTGCTTGTCATGTACACTGGCACGTATGACACACCCCCGATCTTGTTCCGTGACACAAACCAAGGCTCTCAAGCAACACTGTGGAATTTGACAGAAAAACATCTGTCATCGTTTCTTCCCTCCCTACTCGACCAATTGTTTCCTCCACCGGCACCATCCCCACCTGAAACATCGAAAACTGATCCCGCAGTCTGCGTTACCTTTCCCGATGGCAATGCAGCCGCGACGAGCCCTCTATGTAAGTCATCTCGATTACGAAACTCTTGATCTTCCTTGGTCTTGCGACCGTGTCCGAACTGCGAGGTTTTATCGTATTGACCTTCACACTTGACCGTCCTTACCGATTTCGTCCTTCTTAGGGGTCGACAAATAGCCGTAATCTCTAGTTTCCCATCACCCATCTTGAATGTAAGTGGTTTTACATGTACGTACGTAAGTGGCGTCATACACTCATTCGACTGGCTCGAATTAGTCTCTGCCGTGTTCCTCGCGTATGGTAATTATCAAGTAAATGTGCTGCACGATAGCCGTTATACCTCACTCAAGCGATTCGCGTGGAGATTTGACGTTCTCTCATGTTTTATCATTGCATCTTATATCTAGTATGCGGAGAAAATCATTCTCCTCTTCGAAGAGGAGATGGTGCAACTGCTTTTGGATGAGCTGACTAAAGTCATCCCGTCCCTTGGTATGCACTTTGTACCTATAAAGTGTAGGGTCATGCTCGTGGACATGCAGTCTCTGAACACGCCACTTAAAATCCAGGAAGATGCACTCAAAGTTGTGGAACATCTTACGTATCCTGGACGTTGTATTAGTTCTGATCGTAGTGTAATAAATGAGGTCAGTGCACGAATCTGCAAGGCTCAGGCCACGTTTGCTAATTTGAGACACCTATGACGTCAAACTGGTGTATCTCTGAATCTCAGGGGACGTGTGTACGCGCTGTCTTTCGTTGTATGGCTTTGAGACTTGGCCTATTCGAGCAGCGGACGTGAGACGTTTTCAGCTGTTCGACAATCGTTGTCTCAGAACCATAGATCGTTTGGGTTGGTGCCCGCGAATCCGTAAAGGGGCCGCTAGGAAGCCGGTGTTCGGGTGTGCAACGGTAAGTTACATCGAAAAATGTGCCCAGCACCAAAAGCTGCATTGGTTGGGACATGTGTTGCGTATGCCGAACCATCGTTTGCCGAAGAGAGTGTTGTTTTCCGTGCCGAATTCGGAGTGGCGGAAGCAGAGAGGTGGACAGCCCTTGACTTGGCAGAGGAGTATGAGGATCACGAAACACTTGGGTGCTGTCGGTGCTACTCGCCTTCCAGGATGGGGACCTCGTGATCCTCATTGCACCTGGTTGAAGGCACCACAAGATATGACTGCCAATCGATGTCACTGGCGTTCTTGTTTTCAATTTCTGTCCAGACTGCCTGAATGAGTGTCTGTAGGTGTAGGTGATTAAGTTAAGCTAGGACTAAGTCCTTTCGCTGTCCAGTTTGGTCCTTTTTTCACAAGAAAGCTTTCCAATAAGTCGTGGTCGTACGCTAACGCAGCTTCAATGTTGAACATTGATGTTACATTGTCTATCGCGATGATGATGATGATGTCTAGCAAAGTGACAGGGAAGTTTTGGGTGATGTAGGGCGGTGTGTCACGTGGTCCTGCCGCTTTCATTTAATAACACCCAGTCGTAGGTCATGCTCTCCGACCAACATCTTAATTACGTAGTTTGTTCGCTCTACTAGGTGTCTGAGATCGGAGCAAAAGGGTCCAGATTGACGATAATACTGTGATGATGTATTGCTGAAAAACTTTGGTCGTATTCCTCCAGAAGATACCTTAGCTCGCGCAGTCACCTGATCGCATTAGTTTGTATTGACTTCGAAAACTGAATCAAGCCGTGTTTAGGGTGATAGTAACATACAGAATGTGATTGATTTGCGTAGCGATACAGTCGTATTTAGGGGGGTTCGTTACAAAGAGGTGTGGTGTAGAAAGCGATTAAAAACTCTGTTATTTCTTATACGGAATTACACTGGCTGTCTCATCATCGTGTCTCCTCCCATTGATCATCTTTTCCGTTTAGCGGACGTCGTGGAGTCGCCACATTCACCAGAGTCTGCTGGGCGTGACGAACCGGTCTCAGTCCCTCCCAGCGCCATTCCCACTCCATCACATCCCATAGGCCGATATCCCATGGATTCTCCTGTGCAGGACCTATAACTGTACTGAGAAAGTCTGATTTTTTCTGCCTGCAAACGCGTGATATACTACTACTTTTATTTCTACTAAGTGAGCATCTTGCTAGAAACATCCTTGTTTCAATGTCTTTCATGTGATCTGCTGAAATTCTCGTTACAATGGTCTCTTATCCATCATATGAACGATTTCAACCGTGTTTTAAGATCTACTTCTGTGGGTATTGGTTTGTTAAGCGCGCACACACACAGTTCTTTGTACTTTCCCACTTTATATCTCACGAATTTGTGCCCAATTCGCGCATCGAACTTGTGAATCAATCAATGCACATCTATCTGGGTACAGATTGAGATCTTTCTGTGTCGGAATATGGGCGGCAGGGGACGAGATTGCTCAAGTGGTTAGAGCGCGAATTTACTGACCGGAAGGTCTGTGGTTCGAACCGGACCTCTGCCTCTCGAATTCCTTTGTCTAGGCTTGGGCAACCTGGCAATATTCCAGCCCTCGTGCTTCCTCCGGTTGGCATGGCAGCTAAGCACGGGGAGGGTGCTACAACTGAGCGTTTTTTTTCAGTCTTGTACTCTCTTATGATGTGCCACAGGTCCATTATTTCTGTGCTGAAGGTGGTCAGGCTTCCAGATGCAAATTCCGCAGCTGATACACAATCCCTTAGTTGCTGCTAGGCCTGTGCCACGTGAAGTGTAATAAGTAGGCTAGTTGTCTAATACCAAGGGTGATAAACGACTGTGTTGGTGGATCCCCACAGAGTACCGAGAGCTGTTGACCAAGTTCATTTAGCATTCCGAGCGCTGCGGGATCTTCGCGCCTTCTTGGCTAGGGTCCATGTGATTCCCCCTGTGTACGATTGAAAACTCCACAGTAGATGGCACGCAGCTGCTCTCAGTGGTGAGCTTATCGTCACTTTTGAGTCGGACTGCCTAGCCGAAGTTTGTCTGTCGTTGAGTGTGGTTCCCAGAGAACTTCTAGTTAATCTCACTCATGATGTTTTGCTCCAACCTGATGTTCAGACGTGTCTATTTAGCGGGCACAGCCTCGATGTTGCCGATATTGAACGATTCCCCTAGAGACGGGCTTTTTGCAGTAAGTCCTCAACAGTTCCCTTCATTCTGGCTGCCTTCATGGTTCTATGGCAGATAAACACCATCTTCCGTCGCTGTTCGTGATCGTGATGATTCCAGTCACCCAATAGGCGAGCGTGAACCCCACATGGTACCATAAATTTGTGACCATCGTGCTGTGTTCGGGGAAGCCCGTTACGTAAGACTCTTCCGCAAGTTAGCTTCCACAACGTGGCAACGAGGACGAGGCAACCCCGTCTCTGTAGTGAACGCATTTCTGGTTTTTTGGTGTTATTTTCAGAGTCTGACTGGGAACAATGGATGACGTTAACTTGCACCCAAAATCCCGATCAGTGATTTGAGATAACTGATTGGAAGTAGCTGGGGTTGTCGACAGCGGTGCTGCGATCAGCAGTACTGGACGTAGTTACCACCGTATGTCAAGGAACTGTGCGATGAGATGTCGTTTGTGAAAAAACGCCGCTCGAAAACCACAATTGGATTCCACGTATCTAAGTGCAGTGTTTCCGTTAATGAGACTGATGAAAAAATTCCGAAAGTTCTCCTCATAGTGGCTATCCAATATTGACCGTATTCTGGCCTCCAAGTTGGAAACAGGCCGTCGAAAAGGTCGCTGGAAATACTGTGTCTTGTCAAAACCATTTATAACCACCGATCGTTAGCGGAAAAAGATCACGAAGACTTTGTGTGTTGTACGACATCCAGGATGGGGTCTTCGTGACCCCCCCCCCCCGTGCTTCGCTGGAGACTTTGCAAGAAATGGCGGCTAATCGATGTCAGTGACGTTCGTGCTGTCAGATTCTTGTCTGATTGAGCGGATCGAGGTATAGGCACCCCAGAATGTTTGACATAGGCCAGCACAAGTTTCCCCACCTCACCCAACCTCGTTATTTCACTCTAGCGCTTTTAATATATATATATATATAACTAGACGAACTTATGGTTCTACGGTAGTGAAGCATCAGTGCCAACACTGATGTTGCTGTCTTTGATGATTCACACCACAGCAAATGATGATTGAAGAGGTGGAATTCACCAAACACCACGAGGTGAATAGAATCGAGGGTGCCAAACTGGCGGGCCTATGAAGAACGGTCTTAGATGAACCGAGTTGACGCGTGACAACCTGTGGTTGTTCACATATGGAGCCACTAGGAAACCAAAGTTCACATAATCCCCTACACAACTATCGTAGCACTAGTTCATCCACGCAGATGGACAAAAAGTGTAAACGAAGTTCAAGAGTGAGGTTCACGTGAAGCAAACCAGAAGAACTAGACCAGATCCATGTAGGTTCCCCATCGGTCATCCCTCAGCCGGCACCTAACGCCAGTTTATTCTGACCCAGTTGATTGGTTCTCCTTCCGCTCTAAATCCCGACCAACCTCGTAACTTAGTGTCACTTGGTCTAACGAAGCTTCCGTGTCGGAGGCGAAACCTTGCCCCCTAATAAATCTGCCGGTTGTTTCGCAAGCTTTTTCGAAAGTGCTGAATGCAGTTTCACGGAAGAAGGACGTGACAGTATTCGTAGGCTCGGTGAAAACTCTGCTTACGACCGGTCTCATCCTTCTTGGGGCTCATCTTGTAAGAGCCTGATTTCCGACTTCTCGTCAATTCTACATCGTTCTGTAGTTCTCTGACATCTTCCCCATCCAGTTTGGAAAAGTGGCTTGATGTTCCAACTGGAAGCTAAGCAAATCGATTGATGTTTTTCAGCTAGCGAGTCATTAAACCCTCTTGTTTGACTATTGCTGATCTGCTGTCTGAAAAAAATTGTCTAACCGTAGCATACTGTTGATGATTTCCACTCAACTTTTTTTCTTTTCACTCTAGGGCTTTTAATATTCT